TTTTGTGCCTGTCTTTCCTCATGTTTTCTACTTTCTCAAACTCTGCACATCCAAAATAGATGAGCAGTATTGCTGCCTGTACATTACATGTCCTTTGTCCAACAATCAGGGCTCTTACTAAGGGCTGGGGATTCCCCCCAATACTATGAGCGTGATGATTGGCTATTTTCAAAGGAAACAAAAGGAAAATGGAACCAGGAGAAATTCCTAGCTGCTCAATTCCCCATCGTCTAATTGTATATATATGGTACCTTAAAATCTTAGTGACAGCCCTGAACAATTTATTTATTATTAATCTTGGACGGATATTTATATGAAATAAACACTTAATAACTTCGTACCAATTTATTGCATGTAAACCGAGCCACTTCTTTTTCTCTCATGGTCTTTATAAGTTCCTCCCACACTTCTAATTTGAACTTCTTCCCAATAAGAAGCTCGAATGGCTGTCCAAGCTCTTTACTACAATCAATAGGAGTTTTATCTTCATCTGCTTTGAAAGTCTTGAAATGAAAGGTGGCCTAAAATAAAACGTAAATATGTTTCTTATCAGAGATATTTTTACACAGCAACCCTCTGAAAATAGCCTCCCACGCAGGCATTTTTAGAGGAGCTCGTTTTTCATCCCTCCCCACAAACGTTTGTGGGGACGGATGAAAAACGAGATCCCTAAAAACGCCTGCGTGAGAGGCTACTCTGAAAGCAGCCAGTTCTAAAAGTCCCGAAACAGATGCATAGTTAGGAAACAGTAAAAAAAAAACAGCTCCTTCGAAAAACTGTCGGCTGACAGACTTTAGGGGAGCTCTTCTTCACTTTTACCTAATTTCATAACGATAAAAAATACCTTGAACTAGATTTTACTGTAGCTAGAGAGTACTAAAACTGTGAAAGGTTTGATCGTCCGGGTGAACGTAGTCCTGAATAGAGTACTGTAAGAAAATCAACCAGACTTGGCCAAGAATTTAGGCCCTTGGGGAAAAAATCCTCAACAATCAAGAGATATGTAAAACAAAGAAAACTAAAAATTCAACTTAGCTTAAATAAAAAGCCTAAAAAATTAAAGCTTTTACAAAACAAGGAAAAACTTCATCGGTTCTTTCACAGTGAAAAACCTAGAATTTACGATCTTGCTCGACTTTTACTTATGTTGTGATCAAAAATATAACGAATATTTGTGTCTTTTAGCTGAGTTTACCTTGGCTCCACTTTCAAATACAGGTATTTCTCCTTCTCCAGCATACAGAACGGTTTTAGAAATTAACGGGTTCTCAGTCGCCATTTTTTGTGACATAAACGACAACAGGTGCACTGTTGGAGACTGAGGCGAGGCCCTATGCAACCGCGTCTCCGTCTCCGCGTCTCTCCGCGTCGATTCCGCGTCCAATTCGTCCAATCAGCTGTTTGGACCGTTTCGTGTTGTTGGAATGGCAATGGCGTCTTCTACCAGGTTAGTTACTGATTCCTTTCCAAAGACTAAAAAAGACAGACCGATTAACCAAAAGCTAAAGCAATCAAAGGCCAAAGATGTGATTCATCAAAAAGGTAAGAATTACTCACTACAATGTAATTTTTGGAAGCCCTAACGGTGGGTAGCCTGACAATGGTGACATGATCGGGGAGATATTTCTAAAACAGCTGTAGCCATAGATTTCCCCTGGCTCCTTTAGGACAACCCCCGGCTGCCTGGAACACAAAGAACTTGCTCGTTGTTAAACTTTCTGCCTTCTTATTGCATTTACCCAGCAGCTTGAAATGTTGGTGACTGCACTGCATAACGTACAAGTAGCGGTTGAATTATTGGTGACCCTGAATATTTTCATCCAATGATGCTAGTATAAATACAATAATATTGCTCCATTCTGATTGTTCATGTGCTTAGCACACTGCTTGGCAGTCTACAAGCTGCAAGCTAAGAGTGTTTGGTAATCAAATATAGACAATAGTTTGAGTTTGTTCAGTTACCAGTCTAGGTCAATTCTTGGATTCAGTTCAATTACCAAACATTTAACAGCCATTTATCTTTTCTTTAGATCAAAAGGAAACTAAGGACCAGGAACTGAACCTTGAAAAAGCCCTCTTGGTATTAAAAGAATTTGACTTAGACTCTGAATATGGCCCCTGTATTGGTAAGTTAACAATGTTTAATACTGTGGTTCTCAGCATCATAATATGTAGAGGTATAGCAAAGACAATTCACAAGATGGTAGTGATGACAGTGTGTGCAGATCTAAAAACCAACTTGACTACTGGGAGAATGACTTAGGCTCAATTTCCATGTTGAATCGGGGGTAGGAGCGCGGGCTCATTTCCTGAACAGAAGCTGGTAATCGAGACTAAGACTGACTTTGATTCTATTCAGTCCTTTCCTCCCTGTACCCAATACTAATAGGGATTTTCCAACATAGTCTCATTCTTCAGTCATTTAGGAAGAATTGAAACTGTTGAATAACAAATTATGGAGATCCCGCTAATACTGGCTGATGGCTTCACTCTATGAAATTGTTAAAACTTTTCTCTGGCAAAAAAATTCCGAACAAAATTGAAGCTTTTAGTAAACCGGAACTATTGCCTTCCAATGCAGTCATTTTGGTCTTTAACCCATTCGCTCCTAGAGATTTTGCCGAAAAACGCGTTTTGAAGCTAGTCGAGTGGTTTTCTGGTCACTGTCGTGCTATAAAGAGCTAAAACTTACCACAAACTGGTTTACAGGTCGAACACTTCGCGGTCTTCCGATCCAGATGTAAAATATCAGCTTGCGAAGTTCGGGCATGCGCAGAAAGCAAAATTTCGACATAGTTTTTGGGTTTAAAAGTGACACAGCAGTCTTGACTTTTACTTTTCGCTTTCTCTCCTCCCTTCTTTTTTTGCTTTTCTTGCCTCATTTTTTTTTTTCTCTTGCTGGGCATTTAGTAGGCTTGATTTTGGTGGGAAGAGTTTTTAGGAAAGCTTTTAGGATCTTAGGATTAGGCGAAAGGAAAGGTAGGTGGGTAATGGGACAAGATTTTCATGGAGATTTTCAGGTCAATGTCACGTGGTTTTTTGCTTGTTTCTCCGGTGTCCTTGACTGAATTGTGCTCATTCTGGTATGGTTTGAAAGATCTCTTCACTCTGCACAAGTTAGTGAAGAAAGTTGTCCTTGACCGTTAAAACTGATGACGTCACAATGGGTAGAAAGGACCTGGATCCGCACGGGCGGTTACGGGCGGTTCAGGGGCGAATGGGTTAATGTGTGGAGATTGAAACTCTGTTTTAGACAACAAAACACAAAGTGAATAAGGACACCAAAGAAAGATCTCTCTTGGGAGGGCTTTGGGTCAGGGAGTGTGATGACCGTGTTGCGTTCACTTTTCACCCATAAAGCAAAGGGAAATTATTGTGGCCAGTTTGAATGTTTGACTTGTTAGCAACAATTTGTTTGATTTTGATTCTTTCAAGCTACAGGGGGCTGCAACTAAAAAGTGTTTGATCATGCAGCATGAAAGTACATTTTTGGTGGATGTTAATGTACAAGTCCAGTAGTTATTGTGTTGATAAGTGTTGTTATTATTAATTTTCTGTTACACATTACGTTGTGATTTTTCAAGGAATTACCAGATTAGAGAGGTGGGAGAGAGCTGAGGAATATGGGCTTTACCCACCAAGAGAAGTAAAGTCAATCATTCTGCAGCATCCTAATGACACTACATTCACTGAATGGTATGTAGCAGTATTATTCTTTTTGTGTTTTGTATTGTTTCTTGACAGAAAAATGCAGTCTGATAGCTGCAACAGTAAGTTTGAATTAAAGAGTATACACATGGTCTCAAAACCTACAAGTAGAAGTCTTGAGGCTTAATTAAGTGTTGCCTGACTGTTAAATATAAAACACCTTGGACTCTCAAGGATGGAGAGTTCTGGCATTTCCCAACATGGAAGTATCAACAGCAGATGATCAGCAGTGCTGAAGATAATCAACAGCACCTCTTGAACTATTTAACTTCTTTCTTCTGGTCTAACTTCAACCACATCCAGATTTGATTGCCTTATCTGTTTGTTTTTCTATCGGCAATTTAGTGACTTGAAAGCACTTTTAGCACTGTGAGATCCTTTTTCTGTATAAATTATAAATGGGTATTGGAAGTCATTACATGACGATAATGTATCTTAACCTCTTTCTTTTTCAGTGTATGGTACAATTCCAATATTTAAAACCAGGAAATACAGGAATATCTATTACATGTACCTGACACAAAATGGAAGTGCTACCAAGTATACAGAACATTAGTAAAGTATTGGTATTTTATTCCAGCACCAATATCATCGCATTTCTACAGTTTTGAACAATTTGTGTAACTATGACATAATCATTTATAATACTAATTTGTCTATCATAAATAAAAAAAGATCAATATAGTTTGAAAAGTAGTAAAGTCACCATGCTTTATTGTGTATGGATGAAAAAAGAAAGAGTTAGAGAGTTAAGTTTCTGTTTTGAAAGATAAATTAAAAGCCATTTTTAATAATTTTGGCTCAAAAACCAGGCGGGTATCCCCAGGAATTTTTGATGAGGGTGTACTGCACAGTCCTCCAAATCCTTATCGATATTTCAGAGCAAAAAATGTTATTTTTCAGACCCAGCCTCTTAAATCCATACCTGTTTTCAGACCTGGTAGGCAGAATGCTGTATGACTCTGAAATTAGTGAGTAGGGTTAGGGTTAGTCATTCATCGTTCTGCAGAAATACCCCTGCTGTATTTGTTGTAAATAAAATTTAAGTCTTTTTGAAGGTATAAAGTGTATTTAACAACTTGTTCTAAAACTTGCAACAACTGTATTGCTAAGTGCAGATCAGGTCATAAGCTCAAAAAATTGGATAAGCACTATATCCACCAGATAAACACTATTCAGTGGTAAATTTCAGTGCAACCTCATTTCCTGTGTGGATAGCAATTAGTATTTTCTTTCCAGTGGGTTATAAAAGCATTAATTTTAAATATCTGTCTTTTGAACAATGCTAAAAACCATGCAAAAGAGAAACCTCTGCTCGTAGGGTACTGTAACTTCGTTAATAATCTTCATTTTTTTTTCTATAATACCAGATGTTTTACTAACCTCTGCGACTTTCAAAGACCAAGGATAAGTAATAAGCTTTTATAATACTATGGGCCCACTATCTTACTACCACTTCTACAAGCAAACAAACTGCACTTTCTAAATACCCAATCTTTTTCTGATCGTCTTCAGTGTAGGGTTTTTAATTACTGAAAACAATCAAGAAACAACATCCTATTTCTAGTGCAGATGTGAAGTAAATCATATGCCTTGTTCAGAAAAGAAAAGGTACAAAAACCATCCTGTCCAGTGGGACACCTTGATGTAAAGTTAAGGGGAGGTATTCCCTTATGTGGCCATATGGGGATCTGCGACTGGACAGGGTATGGTTTTTGTCCTTTGTTCTCAACAGGGTACATAATTTAAGACCCGGGGGGGGGGGGGGAC